TTGTTTCTGTATTTGTATCTCTTGTTTCCTCTTTATTTTCTCTCTGTTTCGCACTTCCTGTACGGCCATGGCTTCCTTCTCCCTGTAATAATATAAAAGCGATGCCCAATTCGGCGTCGGCTTTTGGCTTGCTGATCTTTCGAGATCAGTCAAGCTTCCTCATAATCCGGTTGCTTGAAGTGCCCTTCAGAAACGAACACCAAGAAGATTATATGCGAGACAACAATAGAGAGTCTCAGCCATCCCAGAAAATCTCCAAGTCAGAAGATCCGTACACTTCCGCGGAAGGTGACGAGATTGGTCAAAGTCACCTGGAGTGCACATCTTCTATTCATATTCAATAAACACACTACCGGGATAGGGAATTGAAACGCTACTCACAGATGGACTCGCTCTGTTTCAATGTCGCAAAGGAACTCTTCACTACCGGGGCAAGCTACAGTCACGATGAATGCGAAAATTATTGGGAACTCATAAGCATTCGGACTGATAAATTTAATTCAGTACAATAATATGCTAATCCTATTGCTGACGTCGCTCACCGACAAGGCGATGTCACGGAATCACTGAAGCCTACCATATGGTGACTCATGGAACAGAGTTTAAGATCCGACGGGATGGAAGGTTTTGCACAACAGCTCAGCAAGTTACCAGGTTTGCAGACTTCCACGATCCATGCCGAACTTTCGTCAAATATGCAATCGGCTAGCACTGGTGTTGGACCAGTCAGAGACAAGAACGAGGTGGGGTCGCCCTTGAATAGTCGCACAGAGCATTACTTGGAAAGCCTAGCACGCTCATCCTAAATCCTTATTAATGCGTTGAACTAGGATGCGAAAGGAAAGTGGACTTACGAATGAATGGGCGGATTGAACGTTCATTGTCTCAGCGGGCTTCACTGAGAGGCCAAAGGATGCAAAAAGATGGATGTTGACGAGAAACATCGCAAAAACACCACCCCAGAGCGTTTTTACTGGTACACTGGTAGCGATATCGATCTATGAACTCCCGCGCGAGGCTTTTGAGTTTTTTTTTCGCAGCGGATGCAGCCTAGAGTACGAGTGGAAACTCCCGAGAGCCTGTGGGAAACTAGTTTTCCACAGGTCATTTTGCTGGGGCTCTGGAGGCGTGGTAAACCTCGCGTGGACAACACTTAGTCAGCATATTAGTAATATCATTATAATGTTCCAAAAAGGTAATTTTAAAGAATTTTGTGTCATTTACCTCTATTGAGCTGAAAATTTAGGTACAATATTAATTTCAGACATTGGTTATACTGCTGAGAGCAATTTTATTGTGTTTTATAGTCTACCAGTCTTGAAACATACATAATAAATAGATATATCTAAGAGAAATAAAAAGAAAGAGGCAACTAATTACATTGACCAGGCTTTATTATTGTTCAAAATTTGTAAATTGTCTGAAGAGGTACTGGAAATATTGTCCATATCTATCACTTGTACCTCTCCAGTTTTATCAGAGTGTACTCCTTCAAATGAAGGAGTATCTGAAAGAATGTCAAGCAAAATAGGAGATGTTAACCTAATAAAATGACAGACATAGAGTATATGCACTCTCAAACTATCTATTTTCCTTGCTTTTCGTCAGGTTGAGGCATTTTTTCTTAATTTATCTACTGAAATAATATTATGTATGACTAATACATTTGAGTTTTCCACAGGCCAATTTCCAGCAACCCTTGTGGTAGTGAGGTTTACCTCGTGGGAAACCTCTGTGGTAATCCTCACTGTGGGAAACTAGGGAGTTTCCACTCGTACTCTAATGCAGCCGAAATCGATTGAAGACTGGTTAGTCAACGTAAGCAAGTTACTTCGGAATGGTGAGAACTGAGAGAAAAAACGTACCGTTCGCGTTTATTACTCGAGCTTGTTTTTGCCTTTGTTAGTCTTGACTCGTGGGCCATCAGGGGCCAACTTTAATCCTCAAAAAACGTTAATAGTGTTCTTTTTGTGTAGTAGAATGAAAGGGACGGGTTAAAGTTAAAGTTTGAAATGGTAACAGCAGCTGAATCAAAATGTGTCAGTTGTTTCCCACGCATACATTTCAATTTCCGGTTCACATTGCACAAGTCCGACTTTATCACATCTCCTTCATCACCAAAACGAACACGAAAATGTATTGGGACTTAATGCTAAGACATATATTTTGACATATGTTGGATCCTTATATTTGCTTATAAAGTCTACATGCAAATATATTGCCTTGTCAGATTCTGCACATTTTGGTGATGTTCTCCCTCTGTTCTCTTACTATTAGATATCCCGGCCTATCTTTATTAGATCTTTATTAACTGGAAATGGTATGCTTCCTACAAAGCTTCTTTTACTTGTGAATGACAGTACTGAAATAAAATTAAACAGACAGTGTGTGGTGGTACGATCATAGAATACAATGCAGCAGGCAACGATTTCTGTGTTGGCTGCGGGACGGTCTTTGAGGAGAATGCAATTGTGTCTGAAGTTGTGTTTGGCGAGTCGTCGAGTGGTGCGGCGATTGTGCAGGGGTCGTTTGTAGGGCAGGGGGCAAGTGAGTAACAGTTGGTGTTCGTGAAGTTGAGGTTAAACTAAGTTATGTTTATGTGTTATTGTTGTTGTTGTGCTTAGCACATTCGAGGATGGGAGTTCCGTATGGGAAGAGGAACACTTCTGAATCTCGAGAGCAGACAATTGATAATGGTATGTTCAAGTTGATTTGGTGACATGGTCCTCACAGTCACGAATTTGCTCTAGCAAGCAGGAAGATCCGGAACGTCGGAACCGTTATGCGTCTCTCGGGGTTCGTCCAGACAGCCACAATTCGCATGTATACTCTGGCTCTTGAACATAAGTATACATTTCTCCAACTCAACCTCCGGCTCCATCAACGTCTGTACTGATGCCTTCAGCACCATAAACAGAGCAAGCTGCAAATAGCATAGACGCAAAAGGTAAAATAAATGGTAAGCCAACTTGCTCATTCTGTATTACAGTTGCTAATTAAAATCTATATTCAGCCGAAGCCCTTGAAATCCGAAATCAACGAGCCTTGGACCTTTCCAACAGAAGTTTGCAAAATTTTTGCAACATTAGCTAGTCCATTGTATATAAGTGCAGCATGGAGCTGACATAAACCCTAGAACTTCTTAGTGTAGCCTTCCCGCCTGTACCCAAGCCTAACGCTTGTAAGCGGCAAGGCCACGGTCAGAGTTGTAAAAAGAGAGAAGGAACAACTTTGCAAGGTTGTTTGAGACAATATTCTCCTGTTCGGGTGGGCAGGAAGCATCAAATCAAGCATGCAGATGACAAAGAGGAAGAGAACAAGCCTGGCCAACAA